GTTGTGACCTTATACTCAAAAAAATATAATAGCCGCCGGTCAGGTCTCGTGTGCAAAACGGCGCACAACAATATAAGCCGTGAACATACGCGGCATAATTACCTAATCGAAAAAAATTAATTTCTTTTTTATAAATAACAATTTTATAGACCACCTCCTACAGTCTGTTCCACAAGAGCGTACAGGCTGTTAATCCTAAAAAGAAGAAATAATACATGGTTTGTCCGGAAAGTAATGCGTCGCATTTTTTTGTGACGCGAGTATACGTCCCTGAGCGGTCGGACCGGTTGGAGAGGGTGGGGGAAACCCGTAGCTTTCTAGTGGTATGTCGCTCAATTGCCTTCATGCGCTTGGAGGAATAGGACGGCTTGTTCCGAGAACTTCTGCGTAGTGGTCGCATCGAAGGTACCATGGAGAAAACGTTAAAGCAACGCTATGCGATACAGTTTTGTGTGAAGCTTAAGAAGACGCCGCTGGAAACATTTGAAATGCTTCAGGAAGCCTTCGGAGATGATTGCCTTTCCAAATCACAGTCGAACAGATGGCACAAGATGTTTCGAGATGGTCGGGAGGAAGTCGCAGACGAGGCCCGCGCAGGACGCCCGTCAACATCGCGAACGGACGACAATGTGACTCGTGTGCGCCAACTACTGTTTTCAGACCATCGAATGAGTGTTCGCTTAATGTCTGAATTACTGAACTTGCCGAAAACGGTTGTGCACGAGATTGTATCGGAAGACTTGGCCATGCGGAAGATTTGCGCAAAACTTGTGCCCAGAGTTTTGACAGATCTCCAGAAGCAACATCGGGTGGAAGTGTGTGCAGAACTCCAACACCTCTGCGCAGATGATCCCGATTTCCTAAGTAACGTTATCACAAGGGATGAGACGTGGGTCTTTCAATATGATCCGGAGTCAAAGAGGCAGATTGCGGAATGGCACACGTCGTCGTCGCCGCGCCCGAAGAAGGCTCGCATGAGCAAGTCCCGCGTGAAGTCAATGCTCATTGTTTTTTTTTATACAAAGGGGATAGTGCAATGTGAATTTGTACCTCCTGGCCAGACCGTCAACGCGAAATTTTACGTTGA